TGTATTACGTGAAGTGTCACAAATAAAAAATATAGAACTGAATATGGTTGCTTTACTTAGCCAATGTCCATTGTTATTTGTAGTTCCAACCATTCAACCAAGTCTTACTGTTGTGTTACTGTCCTGTTTGAAGAAAAAAAGTCAGACTCAGCTCAAGTTCTTCAAAGTTATGTTACCTACTGCCAATGAGTGGCACTAAACTGGTCAAGCAAACTACAAATTTTCACCATGCAGGGATTCCACTAATTTATAGAAAAATATAGTCTAGTGGCGGATATGTTAATAAATAGCATTTTATTTAGATCGTATTCATGATCTAAAAACAAGTGTTAAAAATTCAAAACGTAAAAAACATATATCTGAGGCAAAATTTGTGTACATTAATTTATTTTTAATCAATCAACTTTATCCAAAAATTCGATACAAAAAAGTCATAACAAAATTCATAACAAAATTAGTTTATACGACGACAAACTTTTATAGTAAATACTGTACATTCCTAAAACTACTACTAAATATACTACACATGATACAGAAGCATGGAGTGCTACAACGGTGAACAGGTGCATGATGTGAAGTGTGTAGGTATGTATCTAGTGTGGAGTGAAAATGGCGGGAATCGTACTGACCAATGAGAAGTGTGAAACGTGGGAGCCTAATATGGTTTGATTGATGTTATAAGGGTTATCTCCTTTCCCTAATAAGAGCATTTTTACTTGTCGCAACAACCGGGATAAAGATAATTTTACCCAGAATACATTACAACAATGCGACTCATAAATAATACTCCAATCCGGATTTTACATTTTATTTAGAGTTAGTATTATGCTCAGATCCGTGTCAGATTGCATAAGCATTAAGCTTACGGTTGCATAGAAATAGAAAATATGATTTTGATAATCAATATATTATGTGATTATATGCAATATAATATGAGACACCATTATGGATTGGGAAATTGAGCAGCCATCCGCACAAGAAATGCGGCTGCATTTCTTGTTTATATTAACTCTTTGAACCAAGGCCAAGAGTACTGGAAAGATCGGATAAACAACTCTCTTTAGCTTCAACACTTCACAGCAAGTAGTCCAGAGTGGCTGTTTGTAAAACATATTTAACAATTAACTACTGAAACCGTGGGATAGGATCCCCCTTGGAATTATTGCATTGTACAATTGTAACCAGATAATTTAGATAATATTCATTAAGTAATAACAATTGCAATGATTCAACTAAATAAATTTGCATCAAACATAAGTTCGGTGTCCAATGTGAAGATACAGTGGATGTTTGATGTACTCATCTTTTGACGAACGAACGAAAAGGAACCACTTAACTTTTGAGAAAGAGAAAAAAAATATTCAATTCGATTGAATCATGCGATGTAATTGGCAGAGTACAAGTAAGCAGCGAAGTGGGATGTATGTTGCTACCATAACGGTAAATTCGTAAGATCAAGCTCGACTTTGATCAAAAATGTCCCCCATTGCCCTAACGATTATTTAGATATGGTACTAGTATAACACTGTTCATAAAAGCTTTCGTGAACAGTGTACAGTCATCATAAAACTAATATAAACGGTCTAATAACTATTATTATACGCTGCCCGAGTGCATGAAGAGGCTGCATGCAAAGCTTAGCCTCGCAATGCGCTACAACCATAAAGTCCAACATTCAATAAGCTTGAATTCATCACTTCACAGTAATTTTCTTCGCCATCAGTCTGATTATTCGACCCAGTAGACCACATACACCATTTTCTTTGTTCCTGGTCTTCTGTAGAAAAGATTTAGAGTACAGACAACAAAGAAAAGTATCGAATATTTATTTTTTCGTCATAGCATGACTTTTTGAAAACGAAGCCAATATAATCAGTTTGAAATTACTGTTTAAAGTGCCGGTCAGTTAAATATATAAATATTGTAATGAATGTTTCTGCAAAGCATATACAAGGGTGTATTGTATAAAGTGTGACTTTTTTCCACTTTAATAGTTTTGAACAGAATTAAACTTCACGGTTATTTTTAACTAAATTTTGTCAGAAATATAGTTGAATTGATAAAAAGAATATCCTGTCATCACTCCTGGAATAATGAATATTATATGTTTATTGCAATAAATATAATAATCAATAAATTAGAATAGAAACTTGTCTTCTTTTCAGCTCACTCTTCTGAAACCTCTTCCTCTACATTCTCAGCCTCATCATCAACTTCATCATCTTCATCATCAACATCATCTGAAATTGACATTATTCATGTAATGGCTGAGGTCCAAGATTTTCAAAATCGAATAAAAAAGTTTTGAAGATCTTCCTTGCCCGGACAATCTCTTCTACATCACAAATGATCCCTAACACATATTTTGAAAGTTTTGGGGTGATTAATCAAAAACAGTCGGATAAAAATATTTTTAGACTCGATTTTCATTGGAGGACTTCGCCGCGCCGCGCAAACTAGCATTCTTGCTGCGCATAGCTGATAGCAACGATCTTGATGGGTTGGACATCGTTAATCAAGATTTTCACTACGCCAGATAAACTCGATTTTCATGCACTACGCGCGATAGAAAATCGCTTGCGCAATTTTATGAGCGCTGACCTTTGACCAACAATATTTTCGCACTTCGGCTTACTGGGCCGCGCTCAGCCTGTCATTCCGCCTAATCTCTATTCGGAAATGTTGTTTACAACATTAAAGCCTGGGGTCCTCAGGTAAACTTCGGCTAGGAACAAAATTTTTGATAGGAACAGAAGCAAATGATAAACATTATTCTTTACTGTCAAAAACAGCTAAAATGTTGATTTCGAAATTTTTTTTCTTGAGACCTCTAAATTACAGCAAGCTCAAGTTCTTAAATTAGCACCATAACAAAATTAAGTAATTTGTGAGAAGTAAAAATTGATGGGGACTTGAAATTTGATATGCATAAATTTGACACCTAGTGACACAATGTGATGAAAACTTAACTTAACTTTATTTTCACATAGCCATGTGTATACGCATACTGCGTAACGCGCTTGTTTCACCGCTTTGGGCGGTCGTGCGCTACCGCAAGCGAGATCGAGAGGGCTCCGGTTAGAGCAATTTGTATAACTTCTCAAAAAGTCACACTTTCTATGGTACTCCCTGTAGATCAAAAATTTCGAGTTCTGGCATGAAACAGTTGTTGATTTTTGGATTTCAACTTTTAAATTTTTTGTTTTTAGGTTTGAAAAGAATTTTGAATCCGAAAATTTAAATTGTTTAGCAAAAATTTAAATTGTTTTGCAAAAATTTGTGGAGTTGGACTCGTCGACGAGCAAAAAGGCTAATATAACCACCACACGCACTCGATAACTTTGCCCAAGTTTACTTGTAGCAGGACAGCTGCTTAGAGTTTAGTCTCGAATACTGTTTCCAGAATACCATATTATGTTCTATAAAATATTTATGTATTATATTGGAGGGTACCTTTGTAATGGTGTCATTGTTAACACGGAAGCTTACTATTTTTTTTGTAGTTTTTGATTATTTGATTGATGTACTGTTCACAAGCAAGAGCCACTTTGGTCTACTTGCTGTGAGGTGTCTCAGCTACATTATTTGATTGTAGATAAATGATCTCTGTCACCGATTACAAACTTTCAAAGCCATCATTACACGAACACAATCTAGCTGCATTTACTCGAGTTTAGTTGGGACAGAATACTGGTTTTGTTTAGGTAGATACATGATCAAATGAGCGAGATTTAATCGCCCTTGTACTGTAGTGATAATACAAATCAATTTTAAGAATTATTTTCCTATAACTCAAACGCAGACCTGTTAAAGAAGCTTATGATGTTGTTGCACAATTTGGGTCGGTCTAGAGCGATATCATTCACACTTAGGCATCAAAAACAATCTTTTTGATCATTCATGTGAAATAGGATGAACATTTTTCATGTATGTGGAGTTGGGTTGCACTATCTGACTTTCGGACAACTTTCTCTGCTCAAAATAAAAGCAAGCTTTTGCAGCTTTTAAAAAGGTTTTTACCAGAGTTTAGTGCCAGATAAAATGTTGGTCCCAGAAATTTCCTTTTTTGAAACCACTTTTCTTTGGTAATTGAAAACAGATATATCCATTCTCCCAAGCTGTTCTTAAAATCTCCCTCCTATAATCTCTTGCATTGTAAGCAGTGGCATAACGTTGCCTGTTGGCGCCCCGCCAAAAATGCACCCCCCCTGTTTGTGCCCCATCCCATTTTGGCGCCCCTCCCTAAAATTGAACAAATTAGGTGATTTTAGAGGATACGCCGTTAAAATCTCTAAAAAAGTGTGTTTCTAGAGCAAAACGCACAGTTTTGCTAGTACCCCAGTTAAGTTTTTCAAAATTGTCCCACATTCAAACGACGATTTTGCGCCCCTCAAGATGGCACCCCCGGACGCCAGGGTCAGCGGGGCCCTTCATTTTTCTCATTATATAATCAAGAGGCTTGCATATGAACATATTGACATGGGTGTAGAGTTGAGCCTGTACGGAACCTAGTAGTTTCAGTTCCTTGTTTAACTTGCCGTACAGCAAGGACATCCACTACTTTAGCCCGGCAAGGCACATAGCTCACTCCACAACTCCGAGTCAAATGTTTCATATATACTAGCCAAGAACACAAGATATATCCTTGTGTGTTTGGGAAGCGCTCATTACCGGTCATTACATCATTACTGATGCAGTCAGGCAGAACTGCTTCCTATCCCTTCAGTTTTCCCACATTCTCTCTAGCTTCGTAACTGCCAGAGAAGTCTCTTAAACAATTACTAGACATTATATCACATAATATCATGCCTCGCAGGCTGGGATATATAATAAAGGCCCTATTTTTAAAGTATGTACTAGCTCCATGTGTTAAGATATTATGTAGATCCTACTTCTGCATTCGATCGCATTTTCTAGGCATTTATTGCCTTCCGCAGAGACTAGAGAGGTAGTTTCAAAGTATAATGCCCCAATCTAATTAAAACTATCTTGCCAGCTTATTTGGATGTCTCGTGCAGAAAACCGACTTTCTGCTATTTCAACAGACTCTTTCGACACTTCATCAGGTAAACTAATTCTCTGAGTTTGGTTTGTTTTGGCTGTGTTTAAAAAAGTGTGACAGCTTTCGGCATGAAAAGCACTGACTGTATCTTCCTTCTTTATTGATTGAAATTGAATGAAAACACTATTATTTGCACAATGCATCGCAACCATTCATGAGCCTCAAAACGTGGTTGAACGGTTTTTACTCAGGATTTTTGTACTGGAATGGATTTTGCTTATTATTGTAAGTTTTGTTGTGTCTTGTTATCTGCTGTGTCGTGCTGCTGTGTTCTTTTCTCACTAAACATATCAACTAGTTCAAATTTACTATCTAATACATTCAAATATGTATTACATAGTTTGCTATTTTAATAAATTCACATGCTAATGAATTTTGATCGAATATATTTACACAATAATCATTTGCCAATTGCATACCAAGAATTCATAGTTAATGGCTTCTGTTTTTCAGTGAACAATTTAATTCAACTGAGTCAGCCATTCTTCATTAAAACTGCTGTGGGCATTTGTCATCATAAACTTCTTATTTGAAACTTTTGTTTTTTGTCTCTTTATTGTAATTAATTAATTAATTAATTGCTTTACTTTCAGTTGACAGTGACCAAAGTTTGTCGGAATGGTTGGCAGATATCGGATTGTCACACTTGACTAAAGTTCTCACAGACCATGGCATTCATGACATAGCTACTCTAACCATGTAAGTGTTTGGGGGTTGCTTTGTATCTTGATAGTTAATTATGTTATATGAAGAAACGAAAAGATCTTAAAGCACATCAACGTATTTTGTATTGTTAAAGAACGGCCCAATTTCTATTGATAAAATTAAAAACAACATTATACCCTATCACCCATCATAATATCCATCTGCAATCAAGTTATTCAAACTCTACTTAATGTTTTCGGAAACGTGTTTAGTCGTATTATTTCCTCCACTTATGTAAAGTTTTACCATAGTAGTTAGTACCTCTACCAACTTACAAAGAACTATACTGGTGAACAAACAAATCACCTGTTCAGCGTCTTTGCGATTATCCAACCAATCAGAACTCAGAATATCCCTTTCTCCGACCAATGAGAACACAGAATATACCTTTCTCCAACCAATCAGAACACAGTATGGCTACTTAAGAACTAGTTTCATATCACAGTTACATGTGTGATCTGTCTCCTCAACTACTCACACTCTATTTTACTTGTCTACAACTTGCTTTTCCTTTACAGTTTGCAATGTAATAATATCATGTATAGTGCTTATCTTAGGAGAATGTTGATATTTATATTGCTTAGTTTTATATCATTCCTTTTTTCATTGTTTTAAACTATTCCGTTTCTTATCTTTTTATCTAGATCTAAGGCAGGTTAAGAAGCTGAAATGTCTGCCAGCTGATTGAATTAAACGATTCTAACCATAATGATAGCTACCAATACAATAAGTGAGAGATAAATAGAGACAATAAGTACTGTATCTTAGCTTGATAACTTGATATAATTAAGTTTAATTCAGCTAATATTATGTTAATTTGTGTTCTTATCTGATTGTGTGTAGAATTGTGCTCACATCTTTCAAACTCGATGCTAAAAATGTCATCCATAACCACAAAACCACACTATAGCCCCCTTCGTGAACTACGTTACAATCCAGTTGGCAGAAGTAGCCCGTCTTTAGTCTTGTAGTCCAAGTTTCTGCCTCAGTTCACTTGTCTGACCCTGAGGGTAACATGGAGCAGCAGCCTTCCACTCAGCTGTCTCACTTTCTCTCTCTCTCTCTCTCTCTCTCTCTCTCTCTCTCTCTCTCTCTCTCTCTCTCCAACTCGCTGACTCGCAACTAATGATCAATTACAGACTGTTCTAGAATATATGTTAAACAATGTAATATAACTCTAACTTGGTTTCTCCCTCTGGCACTCCAACAGTCTGGCATCGTGCCAACATATCACGTGACTTGTCTAACAACCAATCAGACTATCAGAGAGAGGTATAATCGGGGCCTAACCAATCACCAGCCTCCACACAGGGGGTCTCAATACAAAGGAACGAGTCCAGCCTTCTGATTGGCTAATAACGATCACGTGACACTAGTGAGCTGCTCTGATTGGAGGTTGGTTGCCTGAGGGCTATTATACCATGTGGAGGGTTGTATAATACAGCGCTCTAATGTTTATTACAAGAGGTGGTTTAAGGAGCTCGCTGGCGTGTGTCTTGTTGTCATGGTAATGCTTGTCTTGTTAAGGTTCTTGTTTTGTGATATCTCTCAAACCTTCAATTATCTCATTTCTCTCTCCTCGTAGATTGTGTGATTTGATTTGAAAATATGGCACTAGTTATTTAACGTCCGTTTATAATCGTAAGTAATAGGTGACTGTGGCTGAAACAAGCTCTGAGAATAGACAGATGGAAAGTCCAGCTTCAATCTGCAGCCCACCGTTCAGCGATTTTAGCCAGACCTTCGCTATCACGTACGATTACGATTAGTTGAAGTTCGTGTTAGTGGTTACATAATATAATCATATTATGTTAATATTATCCCGGTTCTAAGCGAATTCTCAAATTTGTCTAACTTTGCTTCACTTGAAGACTGTTTTCATTTGTCATTTGGCTCTATGAATATTGAGTTTAACGTTTTTACTGATTCTTAACCTACTTCCTTTCTACTCATAGTTTAAATTCTGTCACGACGATTTGCGTTTTGAAAAGATTTTCTTACTTTTCGTCGAGCGTATTTTCTGAATGACCTCAGTGTTGTATTATTAACAGTTGATTGGTTGTGCTAAAATACTTGACACTGTGTAACAGGTGACATGACACGTGACATTGTCATGGTTACAGGTGTTAAATAAGACTCCTCCCTGTATATAACCTGTTAAACTCTGATATTCTACATGTATCAGCTGCTTGTGTAGTTATAAGCGATAATACCCCGCTCTGCTGCCTGCGTGTATCGAATTATCCCAGGATCACTATCACGTGACCGCTCTCAGCCAATGAGAAGCTCTCATTTCCGACAACAGCCAATCAGGTGACGTTAAGTTTATCCGATCATTATTCCAAAAGAGTTGACGGTATTGTGTGAGGAGATGTACAAGTTTACATTGTTTACAGCACACCTTACACCTGACAGTCATGTCACGTGTTACCATGACAATGTCACGTGTCATGTCACGTGTTACCATGACAATGTCACATGTCATGTCACGTGTTACCACACAATGTCACGTGGTTTACCACTAATTTTCTGTAGAAGTTTAGGGCACTCCTTTTTTGTGTAATACCACTACCTGTCATACAGTTAATTGTAATGGAAAATAATTTTATGTCGCTCAAAACAGAGGAGGATAAAAGCATCTCTAGAGTTGTTACGCCCTAGATCCTCGACTACCCACAAAACACACGGACACCCCTTTTTAGTGTAATGTTCTTACAGTTTAACACTAATATATTACTAATATATTACTAATATATTACTAATATATTACATAAATATATATATACTACCTCTTAATGCTACTCCTTAATGCTACTCCTTAAAACTAAGTTCCTTAATACTACCTGTCTTCCAAACACTACATAATAATACTATCTGTCAAACTGGTAATTATAATTATTCTTTCTGTCAATATTAAGGAAGAGAACGTTAAACAAGCCCATCTAACGAATACAGGGGGTGGTACAGCTGTGGTACACTCTACACTACCTATATCTAATACTGTGGTACACCCTGTACATGTAAATATAATACTTCGTCATCACTGGCAGAACTTTATAAGGAGACAGTCTGACAATTTCTAATAATATCTACGAATAACATCACTATTTTCTAAAACAGTACACGAGTATAACAGCTAGTAGTCAGAACATGTCAGAGAGAGGTTTAACAGTACAAACCTGGGAGGTGTTTGGGAGGTGTCTGGGAGGGGTCTGGGAGGGGTCTGGGAGGGGTCTGGGAGGGGTCTGGGAGGGGTCTGGGGGAGGGGTCTGGGAGGGGTCTGGGAGGGGTCTGGGAGGGGTTTGGGAGGGGTCTGGGAGGGGTCTGGGAGGGGTGGGGTCTATTATTTCATAGGTGTTTTAGTTGTCAGACCTAAATATACCTTTACTACCTCACAAATATTGGTAGAAGTCTGCTTGGTGAACATTGCTGAATACTGTGGTACATGTAATGTGCCCTTACATTGCATGATAATGTAATGTAGCAGGGAGGATAAGTAAAGGGCACAGAGCGTTCAGGCTGCAGCTCTTGTATTATTAACGTACGTTATTATGACAATATTATTATATCCTGCTGTAGTGAAATATGCGTCAAATCAATTCGTACATTGCTCTAATAAATAGGAACATATTGTGATCCTAGTGTGTGTGTGTGTGTGTGTGTGTGTGTGTGTGTGTGTGTGTGTGTGTGTGTGTGTGTGTGTGTGTGTGTGTGTGTGTGTGTGTGCGTGTGCGTGTGCGTGTGCGTGTGCGTGTGCGTGTGCGTGTGCGTGTGCGTGTGCGAGAGTGCAGGTAACATTGTTAAACGTAATTTTTGTGATTACAGTCTATACAGTACAGTACAGTGTGATTACAGTATGATGTGTGCTGTGTAATTACAGTCTGCCTCTACTCAAAGTTAGAACTTCAGTCCCAAATAAGACACCTAATCACGTAGTCTACATGTATACACACTGTATATGTGAGATATCTTTCCCAGTAGAGCTACTAGTAAAAGAGCAGTTAAGCTTGTAGTAAAGATTGTAGAAGAGTTGAAGTGGAGGTATTTGCTGTCAGAGTGACAGAGATTTACATAATCTGCTTTAACAAATTTTAGTGGTGTAAATTACCAGCCTGTTACGTGCCTGCTAGTACCAGAGTACCAGAGTACCAGACAAGGTGGTGCCTGTGTGATATTGTATAGTCTACCTTCACAATCTATTGTACAACTAACAGTGTGATAATCACTGCTGTGCCGTGGTTGTTGCTCCACTTACAGTTCATCTAGCAGTGCAGTTTATACAATAGGATAGCTCTCTACTGTAATCATGAAAATCAGAATATTAATGTTTAGAAAATCAGAAATCAGAATATTAATGCTCAGAAGAGACTGAGAAGAGTGTTTTAGCGGGGTAAGATGGTAGCGGGGCACGAGAAGACTCGTTTTAAGAGAGGAACTGAGAGAGTAATGCCAAGTGTCTGGTATTTCTATACAGTAGTGACTGTGCGCGCGCGTGCCCACGTGCGTGGTGGATTGACAGGGTTATTGTGTGTAATTCCCATACTCTCAGGGTTATTATTTATTTATTATGTATTGTCTGGAGAGGTGATGTGTTGGTGAAGTGTTAAGTAAACAGTCTCTCCAAACACATAATAACATAAACCACACACTCTCCAATGTAAACCACACACAGAACACACAGTACACACTAACACACCCTTCACCTTGTACATTAACTTTACATCCTTCCTGAAAAGGCACCCCAATGTCAAGACCTCCAACCCAAAAAAGGTGGGTGGATTTCTGAACCATGATTTGTGTCAGGGCTATGGTAAAGTAAAGAATTGAATTTACTGTTTGGACCTAGCTTAACATGGGCAGGTCTTAGGATAAAACAATGGACAAAACTGCCAGCCAGCTCCCACGAGCGGTATTCCTTATAGTGTAAGGTCACAGCATTATGACGACGGCCGTTGTATAGTAAATGTAGCGTGGAATTGTGAACAATAAAACTTTACATATAACTTATCTACCTACACATGTGATAAGAGATCCCAAGCAATGACGTGGTAGCCTTTTAAAGGTTTACGATACGGGAAACAATGGAATTTGTAACCTAAGTCAGGAAGTGTACACTGAAATACCTGCAGATGGGTAACAACATATCATTACTCCTGATAGCTGAAAAGCTTAAACACAGGCACTTAACTGTGAAGCTCACGTGAGTTCAGAGCTATTTCAGTTACATAAAACAGCTCAGAATACTAAGTTAAGAATAGCTTGAATTAGCAGCATAATAACATAACAGTTACATAAAGCAGTTCAGAATACTAAGTTAAGAATAGCTTGAATTAGCAGCATAATAACATAACAGTTACATAAAGCAGTTCAGAATACTAAGTTAAGAATAGCTTGAATTAGCAGCATAATAACATAACAGTTACATAAAGCAGTTCAGAATACTAAGTTAAGAATAGCTTGAATTAGCAGCATAATAACATAACAGTTACATAAAGCAGTTCAGAATACTAAGTTAAGAATAGCTTGAATTAGCAGCATAATATCCCTGATGTGCTATAAATAGTCGTGTGATATTCTATGAGGAGTGTGTGGTTTCTGTGATTTGTGAGAATGATACTAACTAGTGTGTTACTGCTAGAGTAACTCTAACTAGTGTGTTCATGAAACTATGCAGTCTCAAAGTACACTTTCGTTGGTTCTCTGATTGCTTTTTGTAGGTTTTGTGTCTCATCTTAGTTTGTACTCTGTTTGCTTATTGTGGGTTTTGTGTCTCATCTTAGTTTGTACTCTGTTTCTTTGATTAAAGTTTTGTTTCCTTGGTATGACCACTTTCGTAATGTTCAATATTTGTGAAGAATTTATGAGGAGTCTAAGAATATAGGCTAGAACCGAGGAATTTTTGAGGATGTATTTTGTGTAGTGCAGGCCCTTTGCCAAGTATGCAAAGTATGCACAGTTTATGTTAAATCATGTAAATTTTGCAATGTACCGCCTTTTTCAATGTATACTGTATAGGTGTGTGTATTCTGCTTGTTATTCGGTGTGTATTGCAGGATATTGCTTGTGGTATCCTCTTCATGGTTAATATAATATTTTATCCGTGGTATTATAGTACGCTGTCAATATAACGATCTTTTTGAGAATATGCCTCGCACACATAGTATTGAACCTAGTGGTAAATATAGCAGTAATACAGCAGTGAGTTTAGAGCAGTGACTTTAGGGCAGTATGATAACAGGGGTTGATGACAGGAAGATCTACACTCTGTATCTACACTGTATCTACTAGATAATCTAGAAAGTAACCTTTAAAACTTTAAACAAGGACAGGTGAGAGTGTAGGATATAATGGACACTAAACGTTGGGAGGGAGTGCAATGTTTAGCGAGATATGAACTCTGCGTGCATTTATAGAGGAGTCCACTATAGAAGGGACAAAAGGAGGCTTTAAGGGTTTTTTACCTGCTACATTGCAACACACAATGCACATTTGAAATGGTTATATAATTATTGAAACAGTAGTTTGTAAAACAGATTTAAACATCACATTTGTAACATTAAACATCGTGTAAACCTCTATCTAGCTAAACAGAATGTTTTGTTAACGCAAGGATACTCAGATACTGCCACTGTGTACAAGTATCTGCATGATTATTAGAAAACAATGTCTCCTCGCTGATTGGCTCACCACTAACCAGACCTCTTCCTATTGGTCAGCTGTCACGTCCGGACCACAGACGTTCAACTTGAACAACCTTGAGTTTGTGAAGCATATTCACATTCTCTCAGGAATGTTGCTATGGGAACGTAACCAAATAAGGAATGTTGCCATGGGAACGTGACCAATATTTAGTAGCGAAAATGCCGGTTAAAATCATGGATATTCATGTTTTGCTTCAAGCTGAGGAATGTTTTGATTGTTGCTTGGTGGACGCTGTACATCATTGATGCGTTCATTTCTTTACTGTTCTTTCCCATGAGAAGTAGGATTACATCAGATGACCGCTTAAATAGTCTTAATCTGTCATACTGCTTCAACTCCCTCGTTTAAATAGTCTTAAATAGTCTTAATCTGTAGTAGCGTAGTACTGTTAATCTGTCATTCTGCTTCCCTAGTCAATGTTACACAAGCCATTTTAGAGCTGATTAGCTTCACTAATCTTTAACCGGAGTACTGGATATTATAAAGGAGTACTGGATATACCGTTATACACTGAGATGTGTGTGACGTCACTCTGTTTAATGTGAACCTGCCTTGTCTAACCCAACCCTCGTTTCCATAACAACCCTGGTCGTTTCCAGGACTTCCCATTCCGGAATGTAAATTAAATGCCTGGGATGTTTAAACTGCTTGCGGTAGGAATCCTGGGTATTCAGGTTAAGTTCAGGTAAAGTTCATGTCTGGTACTAAAGATTTAGTTAAGTTCCAGCTTAGCTCTGTTCCCAGCCTTAACGTCATGTCTAGTTATAGAGGGTTAGGGAGCTTAAGTTTGGTTCCAATTGCTTGGAATGTTTTGATAACTTCTCGCTGGAATTTGGTATTCTGGTTTGTTCATTATTGTATATTTGGTTTTATTAAGGTTAACCATTCTGTCTGTTTGATCGTTGTTAACATTGCTCTTTTGTTGTTTATTGGGAATCCTATTCTCCATAAGACCAGTTTATTCCTACATGATCCATTTTCGTCAAAAGTGCGGAAGGAAAAAATGTCAAGAAAAAAAACTCTGCCTTGGAACACGCCTAATTATATTTCCCTAAATACTATGATCAACTTATCTCCTCTGCTAACTTTTAAAGACCGTCCACACAGTAACTTCCCTGATAGACAAAAACGTTATAACGAATATTAACGTATTAAGGTGTCTGGAATTTACACTCCGTAATTCGTAAGGAATGTGAACCTTTAATTTCTCGTATGTGGATTTACTTCTCCTCCTCCCCCCTCCCCTACAATCTACATCCCCCCTGATACATGTCAACTTCTTATCTAGAAACATGTTGCTGTATCCTGTGCACTTTCATATGCTTTTATCTTTGGATAATTGTCAAAAATACAGTTGAAAAGAAGAGGTCACATTTAAAGTGTAGAAATGGCATTTTAAAAACGTATTTTGAAGTTCAATCTGTAACCAATCATTTACAGTAAGATGGACCTTTCACTAAAATGTAGAATTGCAGTACCAATGTTTTGATTCCTAGTAGTTGTACAGTTGTACACTGATCACTAATAGGAAAATGAAACCTTTTACTATAGCTATACTTTAGTTGTAAAGGAAGACATATAATAGTTACCGCTAGTGTTACTATATATCTACTACTACCGCTGTCACAAACAGACGCGTTTCTAGTTGTCATGGTAACAGACGCGTTTCTCATCAAGTTAAACAAGTTTTTAACTCTAAGGTGTTGGATAAGGGCGTGGCTGAGACCAAATATCGGACCCTGCCAACAATGACCATGTTCCTTAGATTTTATATTTAACAATACACGTGTTACACTAGTATTTAGATAAAGATTAAATATATATATTATATTTAGATAAAGTAGTTTGTGTAAGATTTATCTGATAATCTTAATAATAACCCTGTAGTAGCCTGTACGGATCTTTGAAGTTATAGAATTGACATGGTAGTAGCTAATAGTTAATAATTCAGTGTTATACAAGTGCGAAACCGCCAGATATTAACTACTAACCGCATTCTTAACAGGATTTATTAAATTACTTTCAAGGTTTTACATTTATTATTTAACAATACCATGTCTATCTTCATCTCACAATATCATCACACAATCCCCGTGCTTTACTAGACGTATCATGGTGTAACCATGGTAACTAGACGTATCATATCTGTTAATAAACTGGTAAACCTTACAACTGTGACATTTAGCGTGTCACTTGTTACTCTTAGTTACTGAACTGGTGACAGTTTGTAATTTTCTTAACCAAGGTGCAGGGTTGGTGGAGAAGTTAAATAGTTCTTTAATTTTCTGTTTAAACATTAATTAAAACAAATACAGACACCGCACATACACGGTAGCAGGGAGTAAGACAAGGTGTCTGTATTATTATGATATTCGAATATTTTAGTAATATTATATTTACATGGTATTCTAAAATTCGAACATAAACCTTACTAGTTTTACATAAACTTTGGTATCTCACTTGATTACAATCTAATTCCGATTGCAATTTCAAAATAAAAACCTTTTCGAAAGTTTCATATTATTAAGTTGAAAATTTACACGTTATTCAGTTTAGAAGATGAAAATTATTTAGTTTAAAACGTTTCAAATTGTTCAGGATATCAGATGGATATTTAGATGACGAACTTTCTTCCGCTCCAAGCTCCATGCAACAGTTAGTTACCATGGTTACACTACTAGTTACCATAGTAACATGCAACAGTTTGTTTCTCACATAATCTTACGCATATTTTCCACATTTTTCATTAATTACGAAAAGGCAAATATGGGTATCATCGTCCAATACTTTTTATTCGAAACTGATTAGAAAAAGGGTCAGCCCAAATATTTGTATCAGGTAAATTCTGAACAGAAATAACATGATCCACCACGATATCCAATTAATTAAAATATTACCAGATATTATCTAAAAATAGTTGTTAACAGAGATTGTTACACACAGCTGCTGTTCCGTCTCATTTTATTCCTAATTTAACTTTAATTAGTTTAATTACTAGATCTAATTGGAACCAATCATTCCGCACACAAATGAAGCTGATTATTCCACAATTGTACACAAATCAAGTGTAAATTTGTCCGAACACTGCAATGCAGATCTCCCAAAATACCGTGCTAACTTCCCGATTCCTGTGTCCGGCGTGGGATTTTCCGTATCAAGTTTCATAATAAACGCTCTCGATCTAATCTAGGGGACAATACTGTCGGTAATGTTGTAGCAATCTTGTCGGTAATTGCAAGGGATTTAATACCGTACAGCTGGATACAGCGCCACTTTTAGAGTTGATGAAAGGTTGAAAGACACTACCTAGAAATTACCATCGATGTGGATTGTGGATCAAGTCACGTGCAATTTAGGGTCACGTGCACTTTAGAGTGTAACTTTTAAATGCACTGTTCGGGATAGGGATGTACGTGATAGCTGTGACGATGTGACATAAGAGTCACTACTCACTAACTGTAACTAAAAGGACTAAATACATTGTACGACTAAGACTAATATACATACATTATACATGACGGCTGTATTAGATAAGAGTGTAGTATAGTGTATAGTGTATAGTGTTAGTATAAGTTCCACCTTATCTCCCTTGTAAAGCTGTTACTTTGCAGGAGGAGGGACCATCCAACCATTCAGTATCATGTTGTACTATCCAACATTTAACCGTTTACCAATCTAATTGACAGCTGTAACTAACAAACATTCAACCCACGATTGTAAGTTTTCTCCACCCGGAGGTACCCTGTGTTTTAGTACACCAGCAATAACAAGCATTACAAGCCCCACACATATAATAATTAGCACACCCAACATGAACTTCTGAAGAAGAAGCCCCGACACTTTCTGATAACCACTCCTCAAATCCTCGTCTCTCATTGGCTCCCACCCTCCCCTCCTCGTCTCTCATTGGCTCCCACCCTCCCCTCCTCGTTTCTCATTGGCTCCCACCCTCCCCTCCTCGTCTCTCATTGGCTCCCACCCTCCTCTCCTCGTCTCTCATTGGCTCCCACCCTCCTCTCCTCGTCTCTCATTGGCTCCCACCCTCCTCTCCTCGTCTCTCATTGGCTCCCACCCTCCTCTCCTCGTCTCTCATTGGCTCCCACCCTCCTCTCCTCGTCTCTCATTGGCTCCCACCCCCCTCTCCTCGTCTCTCATTGGCTCCCCTCCTCCCCTCCTCGTCTCTCATTGGCTCCCACCCTCCCCTCCTCGTCTCTCATTGGCTCCCACCCTCCTCTCCTCGTCTCTCATTGGCTCCCACCCTCCTCTCCTCGTCTCTCATTGGCTCCCACCCTCCTCTCCTCGTCTCTCATTGGCTCCCACCCTCCTCAAACCCTCGTCTCTCATTGGCTCCCACCCTCCCCTCCTGCCTCGTCTCTCATTGGCTCCCACCCTCCCCTCCTCGTCTCTCATTGGCTCCCACCCTCCCCTCCTGCCTCGTCTCTCATTGGCTCCCACCCTCCCCTCCTCGTCTCTCATTGGCTCCCACCCTCCTCTCCTCGTCTCTCATTGGCTCCCACCCTCCCCTCCTCGTCTCTCATTGGCTCCCACCCTCCTCTCCTCGTCTCTCATTGGCTCCCACCCTCCTCTCCTCGTCTCTCATTGGCTCCCACCCTCCTCTCCTCGTCTCTCATTGGCTCCCACCCTCCTCTCCTCGTCTCTCATTGGCTCCCACCCTCCTCTCCTCGTCTCTCATTGGCTCCCACCCTCCTCTCCTCGTCTCTCATTGGCTCCCACCCTCCTCTCCTCGTCTCTCATAGGCTCCCACCCTCCTCTCCTCGTCTCTCATTGGCTCCCACCCTCCTCTCCTCGTCTCTCATTGGCTCCCACCCTCCTCTCCTCGTCTCTCATTGGCTCCCACCCTCCTCTCCTCGTCTCTCATTGGCTCCCACCCTCCCCTCCTGCCTCGTCTCTCATTGGCTCCCACCCTCCCCTCCTCGTCTCTCATTGGCTCCCACCCTCCTCTCCTCGTCTCTCATTGGCTCCCACCCTCCCCTCCTCGTCTCTCATTGGCTCCCACCCTCCTATCCTCGTCTCTCATTGGCTCCCACCCTCCCCTCCTCGTCTCTCATTGGCTCCCACCCTCCTCTCCTCGTCTCTCATTGGCTCCCACCCTCCTCTCCTCGTCTCTCATTGGCTCCCACCCTCCCCTCCTCGTCTCTCATTGGCTCCCACCCTCCTCTCCTCGTCTCTCATTGGCTCCCACCCTCCCCTCCTCGTCTCTCATTGGCTCCCACCCTCCTATCCTCGTCTCTCATTGGCTCCCACCCTCCTCTCCTCGTCTCTCATTGGCTCCCACCCCCCCTCCTCGTCTCTCATTGGCTCCCACCCTCCTCTCCTCGTCTCTCATTGGCTCCCACCCTCCTCTCCTCGTCTCTCATTGGCTCCCACCCTCCCCTCCTCGTCTCTCATTGGCTCCCACCCTCCCCTCCTCGTCTCTCATTGGCTCCCACCCTCCTCTCCTCGTCTCTCATTGGCTCCCACCCTCCCCTCCTCGTCTCTCATTGGCTCCCACCCTCCTCTCCTCGTCTCTCATTGGCTCCCACCCTCCTCTCCTCGTCTCTCATTGGCTCCCACCCTCCTCTCCTCGTCTCTCATTGGCTCCCACCCTCCTCTCCTCGTCTCTCATTGGCTCCCACCCTCCTCTCCTCGTCTCTCATAGGCTCCCACCCTCCTCTCCTCGTCTCTCATTGGCTCCCACCCTCCTCTCCTCGTCTCTCATTGGCTCCCACCCTCCTCTCCTCGTCTCTCATTGGAGGACAGCTCTTCAAGCTGCAATCTGATTGGTCAATGTGTGGGATACTATCCTGTAATTGGTCAGCAGTGTGTGTCACGTGTCACCCACTGTGTATCGTGTTGACAGGAGTGGTGTTTGGCAAGAGGGAGGAGGTCTACTCCCACCTCCGCAAGCGTTTCAAGTCTAAATATAACACACTGTAAGATGATACCCAGAACTAGATACCCCATATCTGCACAATATCAGTCACATTCTCCCAGTGTAAAGTATAACAAACAGGATGTAATGTTAGTAAATGTGAAATATTACTAACCACTATGTAGTGATGACCATTCATTAATCTGTAACAATCTGTGTTAGGGCTATGATGCGTATCCTCTTACGTTAATACGTTAAATCAGAGACATTTTCACTCAGATATTATATTTCCGGTTGGCGACCACGCCCATAACAAACATTCTTAAGTCACAACTGAAACGATTACCACTGTTGACGTTACCGTGGCAATGTTGACGTTACCGTGGCAATGTCGACGTTACCGTGGCAATGTCGACGTTACCGTGGCAATGTCGACGTTACCGTGGCAATGTTGACGTTACCGTGGCAATGTCGACGTTACCGTGGCAATGTCGACATTACCGTGGCAATGTTGACGTTACCGTGGCAATGTCGACGTTACCGTGGCAATGTTGACATTACCGTGTCAATGTTGACGTTACCGTGGCAATGTTGACGTTACCGTGGCAATGTTGATGTTACCGTGTCAATGTTGACGTTACCGTGGCAATGTTAACGTTACCGTGGCAATGTTAACGTTACCGTGGCAATGTTAACGTTACCGTGGCAATGTTGACGTTACCGTGGCAATGTTGATGTTACCGTGGCAATGTTGATGTTACCGTGGCAACCAGAGAGAAGTTTAGTAGTGGTTATTTGGCTTCTTATCTGGCGAAGTAGCGGGGGAGCGTGTCAAATAACATAAAGATATACGATTAGTTAGGTACATGATACACATGATAAAACACAGCTCACACAGCTGTACTACTCAGATTGCACTTTTACTAGAGTACTACACGCTGAACTGCCTAAATCATGTACAATTTTAGTGAACCAACTAAAGACTAAAGACAGTAAAGACAGACTTTTGTATTTGTTAATAATTTTATTTTCAGAAACGTCGTATTCAGTCCGACATATTGATACTGACTTATACTGATAGAATGTAAAGGACTGCTCAATATCCAATTTATCAGTGAATTACGTTACCAATCCCTCCTCAAGTATCAATAACCACCCTGATATGATCTCTATTCAAAACAAATCCTCAGATTCCTATTGTGACTCAGCAAACTTATCTACATGACTTGACTCAGCTAAATTGGTCTGGTTTGTATTGAAATAAGGCAGTGTATTTTAGCTACAGCTCTAGTTGGCATGTGTTCACGTTGAAAATAGTGCCAACTGTAGCGGTAACAATTATAGAATAGAGACACCAGACTTATTCAGCGGTTACAGTAAATTCCCATTTTGTCGCTACACACTGCCCAGTAATTATTAATTAACAGAGTTAGATTGCAGTATCCTTATATAAATTATCACTAATTATGATTCGGTTGTAAAATAGAGATTTTAGAAAATGTCGCTTTTATAATAGCTGTGAGTTATGAGAAATATTAATACGGAAATCAATGTGGGAAAAATTAATTTAATGCTTTAAAAGTTTGAACGAATTACAGTTCGAGCTAACTACTTAAATAATACATGATGAACTAGGTAACATAAGCATTAAGCATACACATAATGATGATAATACACTCAAGTTAACACGAAAATTGATACTGAATTGTAATTTTGTCATCATGCCAAAAACAACAGTAGTCCCTAGCCCCTACTTTCTTCTTAATGTTGAATTCTTACATTC